GTTTATATGAGTTAAACATTTATCAAATTCTAATGTTTTAGTTATGGCTCATATTTGGTTTAGCGTATCTCTACTGGGCTTTGACTCACCCTATATGGGACATCATTTTCAGGTGCAGGTGATATGCCGCCTCCAAGGATGTAGCTTGGGAGGTTGTAAAAGCTGAAGGCTTATTTTGTAGTTATCTTTGTATTACATGTAATTAAAGCCAAGGGCTTAAGATGTATAGAGTTAGATCTCTCTTTTGTTGAACCCAAGTGTTGACTTGGAAAGTTGTAAGCCCGTTGGGCATTTACTTTTGTTGTCAACATGTAATATTTTTTTGTATTGAATACTCTGATAATTGAATATATGTTCGTTTCTTTTAAGTCTTATGGATATTATGGATGGATGAATTATGTATCATTTTGAGGGAGTTACAACTTGGTATCAGAGCGTACCGGGTTTGAATACTTTGGGTACGTGGAAACTAGGTAGTACCACAATGGGTTTGTCTCGCTTGATAGAGGCTTATGTGTAATGTTATGTGCATATGTGGTAGCATGCTTATGTGACTATATGGGTATGGGATTTAGTTTCTAGGATATTGATTGGATCCTTGGGTTCTAGGAGTCTTGTTGGAAAGGCACTTGATCACTGCCATTTCTAATCGGAACTCTAGTAACGCCATGGGACGGTCATTATCCAGAAATGAAATTCGTAAGTGCTAATGTAAGTATGTGCTTACGTGGAGTGAATTACTGTTGTCCATTGTTTTAGGACGCAAGTGAAATAGTTTTGGCACTTTTATGAATGTGCTAATGTTTTGTTATCTTTATTAGGATATGAGGACGAGGACGTGGTGGTAGGCGTGGTAGGGCTAGGAGGCAGGAGATGCCTATACTGGATGGAATTCCGGCGCAGCAGGAGGGAGTTGGTCAGGCCAACGTGGCTGAGCCAGTAAGATAGCAGGTGTAATAACCCTCACCACTGATTACCGTTAAACATTGATTACCGTTAAACTGAACTGATTATGACCGATAACTGAACTGATTATGACTGATAATTGAACTGGTTAAAGTACTGAACTAACTGACTGAAAACTAGAACCGAATTGACTGAGTATGTATGTTAATTTGTATTCTATCTGTTTGATTGTTTATTTGATCTGTTCACGTTTTATGTTTAAACTGCTAATTGAAGGCCTTATCGGCAGCCGAATCCGGAATTGATTGATGTTCCACGACCATCATAATTAATGTGATTTTGTAGTATATTTATCTGAAAACTGATTAGGTATAATTAAATTAGGTTAAATATTGATGGATTGCAAGTTTGACTTAATTACGATTAGACCACTTGTGGCCACTATCTATACACATGTTGAGCCTTGTACACACTCATACATACACGTTTCTTCAGCTCATTTTGAGCACACCACCGACTAGAGAGAGGGAGATTGGGGAGTGAGAGTGTCTTCATCTCTTTTGCTTGATCTTGCTTGGATTGAAGTATAGATTGCATATTTGAGCTCCTAGTCTTCTAATTCAAGACTTAGGTAAGGATTTCATCTTCTCATTCTTGTGTTTGAACTAATTCTTGCATGGTCCATGTTAAATTGTAGAGCTAAGTCATGTTTTAGTTCATACATGTTGATATAGAGCATAATTCATGCTTGCATGTTTGAATTGTTGAGTTGTGAGTTGATTTCATGGTAAAATGGTACATGCATGTCCATAATTTTGTAATGGTCCATGTTTTCAACTTGTTTTTGGATCAATTGGCTCTCTAGAGCATGGTTTGAAGCTTTGAAAATGATTTAAGATCATGCATGTTTGCATGTTATTCATGCTCTTGAAATTGGTTTGAAATTGGGTTTGAATTAAACACCCTTGGGCTTTGATTTCTCAAATTGAGTTTTGAACCATGTTATTCTATGTGTTTATAAATGTTTTCCAGAAAATGAGCCCAAGAGGATCGGCTTTGATGCATTTTAGCTTGAGTTTGAGCTTGGAGGTGCAATCTGGAATTCCCAGATTTCGCACTCCCGCTCGAGCGGGGAACTTGGCGCTCGAGCGGAGAATCCGAGCATCCAGTATCTCTGCACTGTTTTACAGTACGCTCGAGCGGAGGATTGGGCGCTCGAGCAGAATCATGTCTCACGCTCGAGCGGGAGTCGAGCGGAGATTTCACCCATCCAGTACTTTTACAGTACGCTCGAGCGGGAAAGTTTACGCTCGAGCGTGTACCTTTGTTGCATGACCGCTCGAGCGGGGAAACCTGCGCTCGAGCGGGACTCTGTTTTTCTGAAAATGCTTTTAAATGTACATCTTTGCATCCTCATCCCATCCTAGGCATGCTTAGGCCTAGTTTAAGGCATCTTACTGAGGATATAGATGTAGAACACACCGAGGAATTAGATAGCCAATGCTACGAGACTTGTGCAAATTAGTTTTGGCAGCAATTCTTTTACTGGGTCCATGGCTAAAAGTTTGGGAAGACTTGATGCTTTAGAAATTTTTGCTGCTAATAACAATTCACTTGGAACAGACCAAGTTAATGAATTAATGAGCTTCCTCACTTCTTTGTCCAATTGTTCCAATCTCCGAATTTTGGTTTTGGCTGCAAATCAATTTAAAGGTTTCTTGCCTCATTCTATTGAAAATCTCTCCACCAAGATCACTTGGTTCATTCTACAAGACAACTATATATCTGGAAACATACCTCTTGGTATTGGAAACCTTGTACATTTGCAATACCTCTTTCTAGATGATAACATGCTTACTGGTAGTATTCCAAATTCCATTGGAAAACTCTCCATGTTGGAAATCCTCATGGTTGACAAAAATAACATCTCTGGAGAGATTCCATCGTCTATTAGAAACCTGAGTAGGCTTGGTACACTTGACCTATCAACAAATACGATTGAGGGAAGCATTCCTATTTCTTTAGGCAATTGTACCAATTTACAACAAATTCATCTTGATCACAATCATCTCACGGGAGCAATACCTTATCAAATCTTTGGTCTGTCTTCCCTCATTAATCTATCCTTAAGTCAAAATTACTTAACAGGACTACTACCGCAAGAAGTGGGTAACTTGAAAAATCTAGGTGGACTATATGTTTCAAAAAATAAACTATTTGGAGAAATCCCAGCTACTCTTGGCAATTGTGAAGTTTTAGAATTCCTCTACATCGATGGTAACTGTAACAACCCTCATACTGTTTACTGATTAATGACTGATTAACTGCTAATTACTGTTAACCGAGACTGATTATAACTGATAATTGAACTGAATAAACTACGGAACTGGCTGACTGAAATTGGAAACCGAATTGACTGAGTATATGTTAGTTAAATTGCATTCTATCTGTTTGATTGTATGATTATCTGTTCATGCTTATATGTTTAGACTGTAAGTTGAAGGCCTTATCGGCGGCCGAACCTACTGGGAATTGATTAATGTTTTATGATCTTCGTAATTATGTGATTTTATGGTGTATTTACCTGAAAACTGATTAGGTTATGATTAAATTAGATTAAATTAAGCTAATTAAAGAGTTGGATTTAATTACCCGTTTATGCCATTGTTAGTGGGCCCTTATCTAGAACATGTTAGAGCCTTGTATGCTTGAATCAAACATTTTGCCAGCTCATTTCTTGTTTTTGCCGACCAAGAGAGGAGAAAGATTAGTTTAGAGGAGAGAGAGAATTGTTCTTTTGATTTTGCTTGTATTGCTTGGAATTGAAGAATTAAGTATTGCATATTTGAGCTCCCTTCTTAAAATCAAGACTTAGGTAAGGTCATTTCTTCTTTCATGTGTTTGATATTCTTGCATGGTCATGTATATTGATGGAGTTAGAGCAATCATGTTAGATGTTGAATTGAAGTTGATTGTTGCAGCATGTTGAATTTGAGTTTTGAGGTGTAGTTCATGTTTCTACATGCATGTCCTAATTTTGTAATGGTCCATGTTTCTCATGTTTTTGAAAAATTGGCTCCTTAGACATCAAATGAGCTTCAAATGTTTGAATTCATGCATGTTTGCATGTTCATTTGTTCTTGAAAAATGGTTTGAAATTGAGTTTGAATTAAACACCCTTGGGCTTGATTTCTCAAATTGAGCTTTAGAACATGTTTCTATGTGTTTATAAATGTTTTCCAGAAAATGGCCCAAGAGGATGGTTTTGATGCATTTGAATGTGAGTTTGAGCTTGGGGTGCAATCTGGTTTCTAGATTTGCACTCCCGCTCGAGCGGGGAATTGGCGCTCGAGCGTGGAATCCGAGCATCCAGTATCTTCTGCACTGTTTTACAGTCGCTCAGCGGAGGATTGGGCGCTCGAGCAGAATCATGTCTCACGTCGAGCGGGAGTCGTAGGGGTCGGGAATTTTCACCCATCCAGTGCTTTACAGTACGCTGAGCGGGAAAGTTTACGCTCGAGCGTTGTACCTTGTTGACCTGCTACGTCGAGCGGGAAAACTGAGCTCGAGCGGACTCTGTTTTTCTGAAAATCCTGAACTGCTTTTTTAAATGTTACATCTTGGCTCCTCACCCATTCTAGGCATTCTTAGGCCCTAGTTTAAGCATCTTTGTTGAGGAATAGATGTAAGA